CTGGGGTGCTGTTCTGCTCACTTCCCATGTGTCAAAAACATAAGTTTTGGGACTGCATTTGAAGGAGGTGACAATTGCTCCAATCAAAGTGAAAATATGTTTCCAGTCTATTGATTGATCGGCTACTCATATGTACTTTTGGAAGGTTCATTGGATTGGGTACTGTTTGCATGACATCATCACTTTTAGATTTCTTCATTTGAAACAAATAAATGTAAACTATATCTGAATCCATATTAAGTATGTTATGCACACCCATCAGTACGTATGACCATGTATACTTAACTGAGCACTCATGCTGTGCCGGCTTGTGTAAAAGTGGCTCATGTTTATGGTATTTCACTGACTACCTATGATGTAAGTACAATTACTACCCCTATTTTTTTTTAAATGTATTTTTACTGATTTCAAACAGGAAGGGAGAGGGAAAGGGAGATAGGAACATCAATGATGAGAGATTGATCGGCTCCCTAGGGCCACAAACCAGGCATGTGACCTTGACCGGAATTGAACCCAGGACCCTTCAGTCCCCAGGCTAACGCCCTACCCCCTGAGCCAAACCACCTCAGGCGATTACTAGCCCTATTTTACAGTTGAGAAAACTGCGGCTTAAGAAGGTTGGGTAACAGCCAAGGTCACATGGCTAGTAGGTAAATATTACCGCACTCCAAATTGCTCAATAACTCATTGTATTGATGATGCTGTGTTTTACTTTAATGAAACGCACAGGGGCTGTGGTGTAACTGCTTTTAACTTCGAATGAAGCGCCCCGCTGAGCTCCAAGTAGAAAATAAACAGGAGGACAGGTGTGACTTGAAGAGAGTGATGGGGGTTGTAACCCGAAGCCTCAGCGCCCGCAGCGCCAGCAGCTCTGGAGGCTGCACCCAGCCCTGCGTCCCTAACCTCCCCTGGGCCTGGCCTCTCTTTCTTCCAAAGTTGGAGCTCTCCTGGGTGGGAGGGGGCGGGAGGAGGGGGCCGGTGACGTCACTCGGGAGCAGGGATAAAGCTCCCGGGGCGTCCCAGCCAGGACACTGCCCAGGGCGCACAGAGGGCTGTCCGGCTCAGGGACTCTCTCGCCTTGTGGAAGGAGACCCAGCAGGCACCATGCCCCAGAACGTGGTCCTCCCGGGCCCTGCGCCCTGGGGCTTCCGACTCTCAGGGGGCATCGACTTCAACCAGCCTCTGATCATCACCAGGGTAGGTGTTCTCCCTTCTGCTGCTGCAAGTCGGGGACCCCGTGGAGCGGAGAGTGGCCATGGAGCCCCGGTGCGCGGGTGGTGGGCCCTCTGCCTGGGACTGGCAGTTGGAGGGGCGGCAGCAACTTGGCAAAGTGAGGTTTGGAGGATGCAGAGCCGCTGAGAGAACTGACCTGTCAGCCGCAGCGGTCCGCCTGCATCCTCTCGGTCCCCAGCAACTTTCCGCCAGCGTTTCCTCTGGGCTCAGAGGGGGCGAGGGGGCGAGGGTCCTCTCTGGCCTTCACCCTCTACTCTGGCCTCCTCCCAGTCACAATGCGGGGGGCGCGGGAAGGAGAGATGGGGCGCTGCAGGGAGAGAGATGGTGACCCGGGAAGGAGAGAGAAAGGACCGACACTGGGGCTGTTTCTTGTCTGGATGGAAACTTCAGCCGGGCGCTGTTCACGGGCGCTCCCTGGGTCCGCCCAGAGGGAACCACTCTTATCAGCCCAGACAGGGAAAACATTACTAATCGGTGTCCCTAGGTTTCCAGGCATTTTGGATAAATATTTTCCAAAGCTGGGAACTTGGCTGAGAAATCAGCACCTATAACTGGAACTACAAAGAAAACGGGTCAGGTCGTTTCGTTTAATCTGGTGGAAAATCAGCATTCAGCCTAATAACTCTGAAAATAAGGCTTTGCTATCAAAGTCAAGCTTTTCTTACTCGAAATTCTTTACAGTATTGTCTAGTCGGAGGGAAAGAAAAAGGAAACTCTGGGGTTTCTGTCTTCTCCATAAACTTCTATTTAGTCTAGTTGATTTCTTTCTAACACAAGTATTTGCCTTAAAAGAAAATTATTTCTATCATCACATAGAAATCATAGTAAACCTAATACTTTTATGCTTTATTTTTTCTCTTCCCTGATGCTTATACTGCATCTTATAAACGTATACTTTATAATCTGATTTACTCACATAGGTTTTTGAACAAGATAATACCGTTTAAATTCTGCTCTTACTTATACGTCTATGAGATTTGGGAACCAATTTCTTTTTTTAAAAAAATACCTTCAAACATGTATCATACAAAGGCACACCATGGAACATTTCAAGCTTTGTTTTACATTTTTCAGGAACATATAAACACATCTGACATGCGTTTTTGTATGAGACATGAAAACTTAACCTACCCCCAAAAACGTTCCTGAGTAAACTAAGCAGAAAAGGGTTTGGTGATCTGGGCCAAGCAGTGCCTTTTATGGATCTACCAAAGAAAACAGTTTCCATTATCTCTACTAAGAACTATTTTTAAAGTTTCTGAAGTATCGTTCTCATTTGTTTATATTAAATGAAATAAGCTTTTGAGTTCCAACAAAAGATAAATCATATTTATATTAAACCCTAAAGAAATAATTAAGTGATTTACAAAGGGAGTATCTTGCTATTTCTACGGAGCACGTCAATATGATTCATCTTGTGTTTGAAAGTCGAGCTGTTGACATTTGGAACAATGTTTATTTAAAGCCGTGCGTACATTCTGGGGTTGGACTGCAGGCGCTCTTTGTAAACATGTTTGATATGATGACAATTATTACTTGGGAGGCCAAGTCTGGTTTGAATTTTTAACTCATTACTAATTGTATTGATCATCGTGACGCTTGGTTCAGGAACAGTGCAGCACCGTGCATTGTTCATTTGACCATGCCTCTTCTCTTTGATTAACTTAACTCACGGAGGCAGGTAAAACTGAGCTGCCCTGTGTTCCACGGATCCCCCAAACCATAGGTGATCCATGTTGAATAAATGAAAACACATCCGCGTGAACTTTTTTGCCTTAGTGAACACCTAATTGAGACTATTTCCACTGAAACTGTAAGAGTACTAAAAATCTTTTGGAAAAAGACTAGAAGATATTGCAAAAAAGTAATGAGCATTGTTGTCCATAGGTAGTAGGAGTATTCTATTACTTTTATAATCTTTATATTATGTGGAAAGGAAGTGAATAAGGTTGCTTGCCATGCGCTCTCCTAAACCCTTTATTTATATACACAGACTCACTCACATCTCACAATAATCCAATGAGAGCAGGAGTGCTATGATCCCCTTTTACAGATGGGGAGGGGGAGGCCTCGAGAGATTCATTAACCAGCGGAGGACAAGGGGTGGAGCAGAACCGACGCCAGGTCTACCTGCCTCCAATGTCTGCACTCTGATGTCCACACATGGGAAAAATCTGCTTACTGTACAGAGATTTCCAATAGGTGTTCTGTGCCATCCAATTCATCACCTGCTTCTGTTGATTCTCTATCTTTAACATCTACCACTTTTCTTTGTTTCTACCACTGTACCTCTTCAAGATTTCATAACGTCCTGCTGAGCTGTTTGTCTCCCTCCCCAATTTCCCCTGCGTGTCCTTCCCAGCCATCTTCAGGAGATGCAAGTTTGCTCCTATCTTCCCCATTCTTACACACCCCTCAGTAGCATCACCAGAGCATCTATATACATAAAAGCCTAACCAACCAGCCGACCGGCTGGTAGCTATGACACACACTGACCACCAGGAGGCAGACGCTTAATGCAGGAGCTGCCAAGCAACAGCAGCTTTGAAGAGTGCCCTCTCGAACTCTGGGACCCCTCAGGGGATGTTGGACTGCCCGTTTCAGCCCGATCCCTGCAGGCCAGGCCGAGGGACCCCACTGGTGCACAAATCTGTGCACCAAGCCTCTCATAGTGGATAAGATGTGTGGTCTTTACACACCCAGGGCTTTCACCCTCTATCCCAACTCGAGTTTCTAACTCTATTTCCTCCCTCTCTGGCCCTCTCTCCCCCTTTCTTCCTCCCACCCATCAATAGGCAGCAGTCCCATGACTCTGGATTACTCACGGTTTCTCTAACAAACCTTTGCTCCCCTACCGTTTTCCTCCAGAATTCTCTTCCCCACTCCACCCCACTGTCCTCTATGTAGCATTCGGCCCCTTTGACTACCATAGCTTCTGACCTATGACCTCTCCTCATATCTCACCTGATACCACAGATGTCTGAGTACATCTGTATCCCACAAACCACATGCCTCCCAAGGGCAGGAACTTTCAAATCTGGGGGTTACTCAGCACCAAGTACAATGCTTTGTACATCATATATGTTACAGAATAAATATGACACAATATGAATGATTGACTAAACTGCTCACTTTTCAACATAACTATCACAAATAAGTATAGATTGTGTCCACAAAAATATCCTACGATAAAGATGAATGACAATTCTTTTGTTAATTGATTCGTCTATTTTAGATATGTATGCAAAGGAATGAAATACCAATGCTTCCACTTAATGCCACAAAAAGTCCCATAAGTGAGATGTATTCCTCAAGTCAATTAAATCCATGTTTGTCCTCCTACCAGCCACCCCCACCTCCCTCCCTCACACAATACAAATCTGGACTCAGCCATGCTGCTCGATAATGATCCTCTGCTACACCAGGGCTGGGGCACCGGGTTATCAATGTCATTCTCTCCATCCACTGAAATACACCCCACCATTGCTTACAATCTAATTAATCTGTCAGGTTGATCTTTATACCATAAAAAGGAACATCAGAAGTAAGGTATATCAAAGACCAGACATTCTCAAAAAAATGAGCAATTGAATGTGACACAGACAATTTTTAGGAGAGCAGTTTCTAGCCAGTAGGTGTTCTAGACTTTGTGCAATATAAGTTATGTTGTGGTGTTGAGCTCGGGGAGTGGGAAGCTTTTGCCGCCACCAGATATAACTGCCTAAGCATTCCACAGAATAAAGCCCGGGGCTCACATCTCTAAGTGAGCAGCATCTCTTTTCTTGGCAGGAAGAGTCTAAGGAGTCTTTCTTTTTGAAGTGTGTGGACCACCCAGAAGGTGGGTCTACTATCACTGCCAAGTTACAGATCATTTGTTTTCACAAAGGGTCCAATCTGGAATAAAGTGCAAGGTTCGTTTGTGCACATGATGGAGAATTAGCGTATACATCTGCTGCCAGCATGTCCTTTCCCACTCAATTCCTCTTCCCCCTCCCCTCTCCCCGCTCCTTCCTATTCAGAGCACACCCAGGTTCAAGATCACTGCAACTGAGAATGCTATGTGCACTTGGGTACCAACACAGGCAATGTTAATGCAGACTTGAGTTTTCCAGGCTTTACCATAGAAATGTGTATTACTTTAACATGAACTGTATTTGAAGTTTGAACTTTTAGAAAGAAATGTATACAGCTGAATGCAATCCCTTTCCAGGATTCAAGTGTAGCAAGAAAGTTGATGTGATTAAAAATCTATTTAATTTTGTTCTTCCAAAGACGTGTCTGCATGGAAGTGCTGGTTCCTATGTGCATAACATTCATCCATCCCATAAATATCTACTAAGTGCAGGATGTGTTGCATGTGGGAGGCACTGTGAGGGACACCATCGTAACTTAATTGGTTTCTGTGCTCTGAGAAGCTCACATGTCAGTAGAAGAGAAGGGACCTGTGCATAAACCACTGTGATAGAACCTGTCCAGGATTCCATGAAATGAAGCATGACCAAAGAGAAAGGAGGAGTTGGGGAGAGAGAGTACCTGTGGGAGTGGCATGATGGGATAGTGGAGGAGCTTGAGCTATAAAGTTACATAGATCCATGATGGAATTTCAGATTTTCACTGCATGTGTGACCTTAGGCAAGTTCCTTATACTTTCTGAGCATCAGTTTTCTCATCTTAAAAGATCATCTTGAGAATTCAGTGAGATTGTAGTTCTCAATAATAATACAAAATCAATAATAACAATTTATATATGTAAAAGACTAAGCAACCAGCCGACCAGCCGGTAGCTATGACATGCAATGACCACCAGGGGGCAGACACTCAACACAGGAGCTGCCAAGCTGTGGTGACTTGGCAGCTACAGTTCTCAGGTGAGGCACCTGGAACTAGAGAGGAGGGAGCCCGATACTAGGGTGCATCACCCAAGAACTGCCCTCTCACCCTCAGGGGATTCGAAGAGCCAGTTTGGGCACAATCCCTGCAGGCCAGGTGCACCAGGCTTCTAGTAATATTATAATAGTTTTCAACCCTGGCTGCACAATAGACTCACCCCAATAACTTTAGTACATACTCATGCCCAGATACTACTTACAGAGATTCTGGGTTAAGTGGTGTGGGTATGGCTCTAGAAATGTAGACTGTGGGTGCTAGAAGGTTTGAATGCCAGGAGAGGCACTGGAGTTTATTTGTACACAAGGGAGAACAACCAAATAATGGGGTTTCTCAACATTTTGATCCATGCCCCACTGTAAGCCCATCAGTATATACTTGTCTTGCTCCATAACTATTTCAATCATTTTTATTATTAACATGAAAATCCCATAAGGGCCATATCTTGGACTTCCCTTGTGTCTCCCACAGTAAACAGAACATTACAGATGTTTCATCTCTGTTTTAAATTATTTTTTTTCCAAACAGACCCAAGTAATAGGTTGATGTGAATAATGAAAACCATCTGAGGCACTTGTTAAAAACACACATTCCCTAGCCTCTCTGCCAGAGCTTCTCTGCCAGTGTTCATAATTCCAGAAATCCAGAGCTGGGTGAGAGTCCATGGTCAGCACGGACCCCAGGTGGTCCTTCTAATCAGACAGGCCTGAAAACATGGCGCTCAGGGATTAATGGCAGTACTCTCTCCAGTGGTCTCTCCAATGCTTTTGACATTGGAGGCCCTACTGACCTGAATAATAAATAATCCATTGAAAACTCTTTACCTCATTTTAGCTCTCTTGTCTCCTAATTTGGGAAAACATGTTAGTAATAATATAAAATAATATAATAATATCAAGTAATGCGTGGAAATAATATATTCTTGTGTTTAAACATAGAGTTTAACTTACTAAAACCAGACCAACGTAGTGGTCATTTTCTGACCACTAGACCAATTGAACTTGAGAACTTGGAAGAAGTGAAAAACAGTGTTTTCTCCTTCTGTCTCATCCCTGTCTCTACATACTTTTTTCTTTCTTACCAACTCTCTCCTTGGAGATCCCAGGACATCCGGGTTGAAGTGGGGTCTGGCCATCACTACCAACCTCTGAAACATCGTGTGTCAGAGCTGTGTACAGCTGTTCCCAACTTTAGTTAAGAAGCCATGGGGTTACTTAGACACTTCTCTGAAAATAGGGGCAGTCTTCCTTGTCCAGCCTGTCTTCAAGCTGTTGCAGTGGTCAGATTTATTAGAAAAAGCTTTGCAAATGTAATATTTGGGATAAACATAAAATAATGTTATTAACATCCATATCAATGCTGTTAATAACATTTAGAATATTCAGTATCTAAGTTTAGCACACCAGATGTCTCTGTTTAAAACTTATATAAACAGATACACACACAACTCTGCCTTCCACTCGTCCTAACCAAAGCTAAAAGTTAGCCTTTTCTAAATCAAGAGTGAGCGTTGTATCACCCAAATCTATTTGATTATATTAGAAAAGCCTGGTGAGGCTTTAAAAGCATATACATTAACCAATGTTTTCTCATGCTTTGACTCAAAGAAAAACATTCTGATCTTAGAGTTTTAAAAATTAGATAGTACAGATTTTTAATGAACTCTAGCTAGAGAAAATTAAAAGTTTAAGATTATTTTTATCCCTACAAGTCACATCAGGGCTGCAAACTTGTTATTCTTCTAACAGTTCTGGGTTTGGGAGAATTTCTAAATGGAAAACATCTATGAAATGCCCCCCAGAGGCTGAGATGTAACCATCCCCAGTTGCCTTCACCCGAGTCCTATCAACTATCCCTAATGGAAAGTGACCCTGATCACTGCAGTACCGTGATCACAGAAGTAGGGTGAGTACAAGAAACATCTCAGTGATGAGGCTGAAGATTTAGGGCATGTGAGAATTTACTATTTTAGCAATTTTGCTTATTTAGATGAATCTTGGATCTCCCTTAGAGCCACAAAGTGAAATAGAGTTAATAGCTAGACTAAAAAAATGCAGGGGGGAAATGGATTAATGACTGAGCCTCAGGTAAAACATTAGGAACAGTTTATTCCTGGAGCAGTTTCAGATTTAAGTCAAGTTCTATGTATGTATTATTCTGCTCTAAATAGTGGAAACTGGCAAGTGTGACAATGATAGGTTGACGTGAATGGCACTAATCTTCAGGCATAAAAGAAAAAGAAATAAAGTATTACAGATGTCCCCCTTTTTTCCCACTGACCCCCTCCATCCTGCACCCACTCTTCCCAGGCCTTCACCACACTATCATCCGTGTCCATGGGCTATGCATATATAGATGTAAGTTCCCCGGTTAATCCCTCCCCACCACACCTCACCCCCACCTTCCCACTAAGATTCGGGGGTTGGTTCCATGCTTCTGTGTCTCTCGATCTATTTGTTCATCCATTTGTGTTGTTCTTTAGATACCACAAGAGTGAGATCACATGATACCTATCTTTCTCTGACTGGCTTATTTCGCTTAGCATAATAAAATGTTGCATCTTGTTAGTTGTTTTCTATTTGTTCCATCTGTTCTCCACTCATGAAGAAGAGACTGGATGGATAGAAACTTCCCCTGTGTCTGCAGTTCCCAGGGATTCTAGACTTTCAATACTAACTCACACTTAGCCTTTAATGATCTATGATAATAAAAGGGTAATGTGCTAATTAGACTGGACAGACCCGGGGCCGGAGGGAAGCCGAGGTCCCAGGTGCCAGAGGGAAGCCGGTGCTGGCAGCCAGGGGAAGGGAAGGCCTACTCTTGCACAAATTTCGTGCATTGGGCCTCTAATCTATATATATAAAAGCCCAGCGACTGGACCAGCAGAATGACCAGAATGACCAGTGGCTATGACATGCACTGCAGCAGCCAACCAGCCTGACCCGGTCCCCAATCGGCCCCCAACACCCCCAATCGGGGGCAGAGCTGGCTGGCCAACCATCCACAGCCCCTCCCCTGGCCAGCCCTGCCCCTGAGGCCCCTCCCCTCCACTGGCTTGGCCCAATGGGCCCCCATCAGGGCAGGCCAGCCAGACCCCACCCATGCACGAATTCATGCACTGGGCCTCTAGTTTGTTCATAATTTCACTTCTTCTTAACAGCTAGTGTGATGGCCCCATCTTCCTCCTTGCTCTGATGCAGGGTAGCCCAAGCTTACACTGTGTCTTTCCTTGGAGGCACCTGTCTTTCCTAAAATTGCAGGCTAGTTGGTTGCCCTGCAACTTCAGCTCTCTGAAGAGCTCATAAAAGTTACAACTGAATTTATTATGTGGATTATTCTATTAACTCTAAAGTGATTCTCTTTCAAGCTTTCCACATCCTAAGTAACCCCTGAGTGACTCATAACTTACAGGGATGCTAACGCAGTTTCAATTCAAATATAACATCTCCCTAAATTCAGTAAAGTTCTATTCCCAAATAGTTTGGGCTGACAAAAGAAACCTAAAAGAAAAAAAAAACGCAAATTATTTTGTTTAAAGCAAAGAAAATATGATTCAAACAGGGCAATAGGAAGGTGTTTTAAAAAGAATAAAGCGAGTCATGATAAATGAAATGTGGTTTGTAAAACACAAAATTACTTTGCATGATGGGAAAAGAGAGCTAACACAATTGATCAATTAAGAGTCATTGTAAGTTAGATTTATGACTGCCTACCCAGTAAGACATTTAAAGTGTTGCCAAGCTGAAATACAGATGTCAGGCACAAAACTCCGGATATCTGCAAGATGTTGATGTTTTTTGTAAGTGGTGCCATGATTTCTTCCAGATTACTCCGGGGAGCAAGGCAGCAGCTGCCAACCTGTGTCCTGGAGATGTCATCCTGGCTATCGACGGCTTCGGTACAGAGTCCATGACTCACGCTGATGCACAGGACAGGATTAAAGCGGCAGCGCACCAGCTGTGTCTCAAAATTGACAGGTGCTCTTTAACTGATGGCGCTAAAATGTGATCTGTTTGGCAGCAGAACCTGAACCAAAATGATAAATGATCTCATCCTCCCTGTGAGAAAGGTGTCTCAGAATCTAGGAGTTTGACTGGCTTTTTCCTAGATCAGCCACTTTGGTCTGTTCTTCCCTGACATCAGTCAATCTCTAGTTGATTTTGTTAAACCATTTCTAAAAGGAACTCTCCGGAATGTCAGCATAGTGAAAGAGGCTAATGGAATTTTTTTCCTGGACTGATCCCGTTAATTGACAATGAAAATAGAACCATAAAAGGTATTGGCCACAGGAACACTACACAGCATGGCCAGTTGCCCTGCTATTCTAAATGTGGTAGAAAATGGAATTCAAAGATTCTCCTAAAAGAATCTCTTGGCTTGACAAAATATGGTCATGTTAAAAACTGGTTGCTGACATGCTGCAGGCCATTGGCTGTTTTGTACAGAATTCAGCCCAGAAGAATCTCACAAGGTGTGAGTGTGCGTCCATGAGTATATTAGATAATGAGACATTTCTGACCAAAAACAGTCTTAGGTCGTTGAAATGGAGATGAAACAACTGTGGAAACAATGTTTTGTGACATGGCTGTTAGCGTGTTCACAATCTCCCCTGCTGGTACAGAAGGCACACAGTCGATCTGCCATTTGATGGGGTGAAATTG